CCAGGTCTAAATTTTTCATCAGTGAAATGGAGTTAAAAGCACTTCTGACCTAACACGCAGTGTATCATGTGGTTATTACATACTCTGTTGCTTACTTATTCATTCCACAGAATTGTTAAATTTCTATTGTATATAAGGTCTGCTGTTAGACAGTGGGGGTGGAATGTTGGAAAAACCATCCTTCTCTCTGCTGTCATGGAGTCTATGGGAACAGATCACTACGAAATTACCTATACTCTGAAGAAGCTGAAAATTTTCTTCAAGGGTCAGCCAGAAATCCCATTTTTATGGACCTTCCTGCCTCTTTTCAGGGTCAGGAGGGACCTTCCCTCCCTAATACCTCTATACTGTATAATATGTCTAGTACACTGTATCTCAGAGACCATCACGCTATAGTTACTGATATAAAATAAATTCCTATGTCTCCCATTGGATTATCAATTTCATTTGGGTGAGAAACACAGTTACACCCTGCGCTAGACAATATTTTAGGTGCTCTCACATGTTATTTCACTTACTCATTACAAAATATAGAGAAGTATCAGGTCCACCTTTTCAAAGATAAAGGAACTAACTGAGTCTGGGGGAGGCTGAATAGCCCCTCTGAGATTAGTCAGGAAATGACCAAGCTAGGCTGTCATGGCAGGTTGGCTGTTACGCACCTGGCCTGTAACTGCTCAACGGGACAGGCACACAGGAAAGCTGCCCTACAGTGACAGTCGACCAGCGCTGTCTCATGTGCCAACCGTGGGCCTGACTGACATCAGCAGCCAGAGGGAAGAAGAAAGTGCCCAGGCCCAGCGGCTTCAGCTTCTGAGAGCAGTCAGGAGAGCACAAAACAAATGTACAAAGCGACCCAGACCAACCCAAACCTGGGGCGAAGGCTTTTGTTTTAAATCATTATCGTGACGAAGACTGAACTGGAGCAATTCAGCAGGGTGGGAAGCAACAGAGGGCAGTGATAGGCTGTCCTGGCTGGGAGCCAGCTGGGCTGGATTCCGACCCCTCTTCCATCACTCCAGCTGAGTGACTTGGTAAGAGTCTTACCATCTCAGTTCCTCAGTTTCCTCATCTGTAAAAA